AATACATGAAATGACTCTGCCTTCCTTACCCCGAACATTTTTAAAGGGGGGAATTCCCTCTGCAGTAACCCTCTTGTATCAACGTATGTCAAATGCAAGATCTGCCAATGACGACGGAGAAGTGTGAAGGGCCAAGGCTGCCTTTAACAGCTCCAACAACAGACCCTCGTGATTTCTCATGACGGTCAAACAATGAACAAAGAAACCTGGAGACGTTATCCTTTGGGTCTAAGATTCAAAAACGTATTACAGAGTTACACAGAATTCTTAAAATTACCGTTTACTGAATCTGGGCTACTGAAAAAATACATGAAGTTTTCTCCATACTAAAATAATCCCTTTCTGAAGAGCTCCTCTCTAAATAACATAGGTTTGAGGTAGAAAATGCACCCCAAAGGGGAAAAGAATATGAGATAATACATTTATTCCTAAAAATGGGTATTTCCATGAAAAGAATAGATATTTAAAATAAAATCGCAAGGCTATTTAAAATTTTAAAACCACTTCATAACAGTAAGAATTTATTGAACCAGGCAATTTTTTACAACCGGAAAGAAAAGTCTATCTAAAATTGGTTAAACATAGGTATGGCTTTATTCCCTAGATATTTAGCATGAATTCCGTAAGGTCGTCTTATATTTATAAATCAATGGTTCATTTATTGAAAGAAACTGGTCAGGAATTAAAATTAAAAGGAGAATGTGTGTCTAAAGTTTTACCCTGTAGGACGTTTCTGCCCCAAATCACCTTTAGCGAGAGCTCGGCCCTGTGCACCTTGCTGATCCGCAGGGCTCTGCAGGAGACTCAACCGCGGGGCCTGAGTGGCAGTTTTCCCACCAACAGAGCTAACGTTAGGCCACTAATTTCAGAGCTCCGATGAAACTGTTGGAAACACCCCTGGGATCATTATTTCAGCACATTAATGAGGCTGTTCACAAAGTGACTTTATTACAGTGAGACAGATGTTTATTAGATCAGTAATATGATTATAGAACATACTGGATGGGAAGGGCCTCGGGGAGCTGTAGACAGGATTATTTTGCAGGCATTAGACGAAACAAAAAAGCCAAACATCGTTACCAAAACTGCTAGCCTCACTGCATCCCAGTTATGGGTAAATATCCACACTATTAAATATTCACATTATTTTCTGTTTCAAAAATGATGCGTAGGAATGCTTTCTAAGTTTACATGAAATTAAAGGACTTTTTCCAGGGTGGCCAAAATAAAACAAAGTATTTGGAGAAAAAAATGTAAAGTACTATAAATGGTGCAGAACCATTAAAAACTCAGAAGGGAGCTACTCTGCCTCCAAATCAGGATGGCCTACCAATTCTTCACTTTTACCTCTTGATATTATGTACATTACGTCCAAGAATGAAAATATGTTCCTTTACTTTATTATTGTTTTATATTTCAGCATTTTATATTTGCCCAGGGTTAATGGTGGAAGTGTTTTAGTTTGAATCAATTTTTAAACAATAATCTACAGGGAAATGAATTTTGGTTCCTAAATATTCTATTTATTTTCCTGCAGTGATAAACTGAGAAAAAAAGATCACTGGGTCAAACACTAGATTTTCTGTATTTGCAGTGTTTCTGCATCACGGGTTTTGTAATTTCCTCGGTCCCCCCATTCCAAACGGCTTTGGGGTGTCCTTTATATGAAATGGGCGTGCCCCATTTTTGCCTAAAGTGTATCTTTAATTATGAGCTAAACCCCAATTATAAAAAAAAAGTTGTGTGTCTAAAACTTTACCCCTCAATTCACACTGACAAAAAAGAAACAGGAATAGCTAAACCGAACAACTCATACTTAGATTTCCTTCCGCTGCGTGGGAAAGCGGCCAGTCCCACAGACATGTCCCTGACGGTAGGATGAGCCCGGGAAACGAATTCCATGTGCGCGTCTTTAGTGACGTCACGCTACTGCTCCCGAAGACGGCTTAATCCCGCAGACAGACAGAAACGACGGAAACCCAACTACTAATGACCCTCGGGAATCCAAGGCGAACATAAAAATACCTATGAGAAGACACACACAAGTGTCCAAGCCCAAGTAATGCTGCGCCAATGTCTAAGCAGCATCCCGATGAGGTCGGACCCATCGAGGCTGACGTTCCTTTATCGGTGTCACCAGATCGTGGAGGCATGACCCCAAGTCAGTCAAAGACTGCCAAATAAAGTTCCACCTGAGAATAAAGTGTAACTTTGCACGAAATACCAGTACGACTACTTTCAGCCCAAGTGATACTTTAAAAGCAGGAAAACAGAACTGCATGCTTTCCTTAAGCAAATTTTTGGTCGATACTTTTTAAAATCATGGTACCACTTCAAACTGATTTTTCACTATCTCTAGAGTGAATTTTAAAGCGACAGCGCTTGAAGGGGCCAGCACAGATGTTCTAGTCCAACCGCTGGCTTGCAGGCAGGGAACAGTCATTTTAACTCCCGGTGAATCTTTGGAACGAACTGGATGGAAAGGTGCCCGCAGGCGTGTGCCAATCGGCTGCACTGGGTCACTGGATTAGGATGTGTCAGCGGCCATCTGCTTCAGATGGGGGGCCAGGCTCTTTGACCAAGGTTGTGGGTTCGATCTCCAGTCGGGGCACATACAAGAAGCAGCCCAATGATGCATAAATAAGTGGAGCAACAAATCGATGTTTCTCCTCCCTCTCTCCCTCCCTCCCTCTCCATCTCCCCCTCTGTGTGTGTGTCTGTGTGTGTGTGTGTGTAATTGATCAATTTTTTAAAAATTAAAAAACAATCTCTCACAAATTTGAAAATATCTATTTTAACTGAGGGAGCAGGAGGCTGTTGCATAATTTCTTACAGGAACTATCTGTTACAAAACGTATCCAGGATATATACAGCCTGGCTTCCCAGTTTCTCCTCTCAAGAAATAAAATATTTAGGTCAAACAATTACCTTGCTTTATCTTTTCTCCAGGAGACACGGTCAACCTGTTATGTCCTTCAAATGCCATATCTTATACCATGGTTCCCAACTGAGGGTTCAAGGATCCCCCTGAAACTGTGACTTGTGTGCAGAATTTGGAATGTAAGTGATTCTGGGCATTTTTCTGGGAAGAGGGTCTGGAATCACCCGACTCTCAAAGCTGTTCACACTTAGAACGGACTAAGAATCGCTGTCTCATCCTTACCTTTCACTACGATTCTTCTGGTGTGCAGTATAAATATAGGTCATAAATTATGGGTTGACGGGTGTCATCTCCTAAGGATGAGTATGTTTACTTTCGTTTCTGGAAAGAACCTCAAAAGCTAACAAGTTCATTCACCTGCCTTCAGGCAAAATGCTTCCAAAATTATCGGAGGCAGATGAACAGGGAAAGTCTGTTTATTTTCCCCTCTGGGAGTGAAATTCTAGCAGCTTCCTTGGTAACCTATTACATTTTTTAACAACCGCTATAAAATTTATCTTTGGCCTGTATGTGCTCTAGTTTAGATCCGCAATAGCCATATTACTTTTATTTTACTTTATACACAGCTATAAACGTGTTAATCTTTTCCAGAGGAGATGCGTTGCAAAGGTCTTGATGTGGCCCTTCTTAACCCTAATGAGTGCGGTGATAGACGCGTAGGTGCACCGCCCAGCTCACACGCGTCAGGCACACAGTGGGCCAATACGTTAGAACACGAGTGTGATCGAGTTACTAATACCATGAGCGCGGAGTCCCGAGAAGCTGGGGAAATCGCTCAGACAATACGCTGCAGGGAAGAGGCTCCCTGGCCGTGTCTGGCAGCTGCACTGTCGCTCAGAAGTGCGGGTGGGATGGCATTTGGTGGAGATCTGACCTAACTATGGGCCCAGAGCGTGTGTCCCTCAGCAGCCTTCACCCTCACCTGGACTGTCGGAAGTCTTGTCACCCGCCCCACTGGGTACCGTGCCCTCCAGGCTTCTCACATGCACTGGCATCCCAACTCTTCCGTCTGCCTGCCTCTTGCTCTGTCAGGGACATGGCAGTTCTGGGGATTTGGGGTTGTCCCCTCCGTCACTGTGAGCCCACTGCCACATTTATTTTGGGGACTGGTTCTACTCTACATGTGTTACTATTTCATAAAAGCCAGTACTGACCCATCCCCCCCCCCTTTTTCTTTCTCAGTTGACCCACACCTTTATTTGATGAGTACAATTAAGTCTCCAGAATTATCCATCCAACTGCACTTGCCTTCCTATGAGCCAGGGGGTGGTCGAGGGGAAATCCCGGCAGCCTTGGGAGAGCGGGAGAGCTGTCCGCCTCTGTGGAGGGGGAGGCCGCAAGCGACACAATCCCTCCGGTACCCTGCACCCGTAGTTCTTGGATCCCCAAATCTGGGGAGGTCTTCAGGGGAGCTTGTGGAATGTCACCCACTCTGACTGCTCTGTCCGTGGGTGGGAGCCATGTGTCTATGCGGCGGGTCCTCTAAGTTGGTCCAACCTCCAAGCTCCTGCTGGGTTCCTTTCCCATATTCGGTGGTCTCGAGTAGTCCCACCTGTTTTCATCTAATTTCACTTATTTCATCCTGTTTCTGTGGAGGCTGGGGGGG